GACCTAACGATTAATTGAAATTCAATCTTGATTTTCATTTGGACTTCCCTCCATCTTTAAAATGTTATTTGACAAAAAAATAAATAAATAAATAACGTACAGAACGGCAAGTTCCCGACGTTGTGAAAGTAACCATGTTGCTTGCGAAGCAAGCATGTAGCGTATGTGATTCTGCTGTGCCTGAGGGTTTTGAAACTCAGCTGGTGTTTACTGTAAAAGTAAACACACAACAAAAACAATTACAGCATTGCATTTGAAAATACAAAACATGCTGTTTTTAAAACATCGTTAGTGCAGATGCTAAAGTCAATGTAATATCCCATGGACACCCGAACAGGAAATTACCCTCGACTTTGGGTGTGATACTTCAAATAACGAATATTCACAAACAAATGCTGTGGAAATACATACACACAAGTAACATAACACTACTCAAAGGCACAATTTTTTTAACCACTCACACGAGTTATGTTACAGGATTTCCCCCAGAAAAAAAATTGTTTAGTCTGGTGGGAGAGAAGTCGACCGGCTTCATAAGAGATATTTGATTGTAGTCAGTGTGCTGTATTTACATGATTTATTAGTCAGACGGTCACAAAAACACATTTGTACAGACGACATATTTACCCAGCAACTATCACTACAAACAATCTTTGTTGGTGTTGTTGTTTTTTTTTTTTTTTTTAATAGCACTGATAATGTTAGAGCCAAAATAAAACAACATTCACGACCAGAGCTCCGTATCAACGGCTGGTCACGGAGTACCCCGATCTCACCACACCCACGTTCTCGAAAGACCTCCAAGCGGTGTTGGGCGTGCCTTCGGGCTACGAACAGTTCCCAGTCAACAGCCGGCAACTGGGTCTGCAGGTACCCGGGTCGCTGCGGCTTTGGGAGCCGCTTTGTGACCCAGTTGGAGGTTGCTCAACAGCAACAGCAGCAGTGGTTAAGCACGACATGGAGCACCACATCACCACTTCAGGGCTCCCGGTCTATGCTCGTACCCTGCGCCTCCAGACAGCCAAGCTTGCTATTGCCAAGGAGGCTCAAAAGGCCCATGGGCCTCCCTGCACATGGTGATCAAGGAAGTTGGCACCCCTGTGGAGATTTTGGCCAGATGTCCAACATCATGACTCCTGAGCGTAAACCCCTCTCGCACATTCAGGCCTTGTCCACCCACCTTGCAGGGGCCACCGTCTTTTCCAAGGTGGACATCCATAGGATATGCCCGAGACAGTTATCACCACAGCCTTCAGCCTTTTCAAATTCCTGCGGATGCCTTTCACCCTCATGGGGGCAACTCACACGTTTCAACGCCTTAAGGAGTCTTTGCTGGGTGACATGCAGTTCTTGCTTGTCTACTTGGATGACATCCTGGTGACTAAGCAGATGTGGAGGAACACCTGACGTACCTCCACCTGCTGTTTTTCTTGGCAGCATTCAGGACATCTGTTAAATTATGCACTATTACTATGGTGAATTCTAGGGGGGGG